TGCTTCTTGGACTTTGTAGGAATATAAATATGAGTTGTTATTGAGTGTTGAGTCAGTTCAATATCAAAAAAGTTATAGTGCTAGTAGTGAGAGCTAACGCATCTAGTATGCTATTCAGGTACTTGGTGAATTACATGTTTGTTTATCGATCAAAGCTAAATAAATGATGCATAAATACCATTAGTCTCGGATTTCTGTTGAAACGTTGTATTTGAAATTAGACTTATATGTGAATACAGTTGTACTATACATCAAGGAAAAATAAACTAATCCGTTATCATTAAATGGAGGGGACTTGGCATTACTTTTACCAAATAACCCACTCAATAATACGACACGTTACAGCTTTGGTATCAAAAGCGAGATTATTTTGATAAAAATGAAATAGAAGTTTGATTAAACTTCAGGATAACAGTCCGAGTAAGAAACGAAATTGAAACTTTGGTAGAAATGATGAAAAAGTTCAAATAAGTTCCAGAAGAAATGGGTAGAAAATTAAAAGAAGAACAAGGAGACAGAAAATAAAAAGAAGACCAAAAAGACAGAGATAGAAAATTTGAAGAACAAGACTAAACAGACAGAAAATTAGATAAAAATTTTGAAGAAAGAAATGGAAAATTGATGGAACGCGACAGGATCTTAAGAAAAGAGTTAAAAGAAATAAAATTATGTTTAGATCAGAATTAAACACAAAACAAACATCTGATTGAAGAGAATATCCATGAAATTATCAGAAATATACAGAAGAAGTAGAAGAACAAGACATAAGAAGTATAAAAAGACTGTAATGACAAAATTGAAAAGTACAAAAAGAAATCATTGAAGTAGAAAGTAACATCAGTTTCAAAATAAACATCTCGAAAACGAACTGGTAAATGCAATGATTAAAACAGCCACAATTCTTTCTATATTTGTCCAATAGTTCTAACTTAACACAGCATTTGCTAATTAATATGAAATAGGAGACTATTTGGTCTACACCTACTACTACTACTACTATTGTGTTACGTACTACTACAAAATCATCGTGGACTACTTCAGCTATGTCACTACTAAATCCAGTTGCAGAATTTAGCTGGACAGTTCATCAATGTTGCCCAATCAAAAAACTAATGGACTGTTATAGACAGATACCATGGGATGCTTATAATGTTCAGTTTTATATAATTTCGGAAGTGAATGAGTGGAATAGTGAACAACAAGCTAATCATCTCGCTCCCCAATCAAAAGAATCAGCTGTAATTACATTAAGCCATAATAACTATCAGGTATTCGTAGTTGCTTTATCCAATAGGCTTGGAAAGTCACATCAGAAATATCCAGAGTGAAGTCCCAGAACAGGGTAAAGAGGTAATATGAGACATTAGTAAAACTTGTGTAAGATTTGAAAAGGCTTGCCAGTTATCTTACCCAGAGGCTTCACATGAAATGATGGATCTGTTGGCATGTGTCATATTTATAGATGTCGTGCAAGAATTAGATTGAAGCAAAGTAGTTGTACATCGTTAAAGGAAACTGCATTTAGTGATGGAATAGATGGAACGTGAATCCGTTAAGGTCGCAGATAAACAACCATGACACCATCTAGAAGTTACATGATTACCAGATAGAGTAACATTTAAACATCCTCCCCGGAACAATAGTCTAGAAGAACTCAAAGGATTAGTTAGACAACAGTTACACAAAATGGAGGAAATAAACCCCAATACAACAAAAGACATATTACCCTAAACTACTGACAAGAACTTATATGAAAGAAATTCTCCTAAAAGATACCTGAAAGAGTGAGCCATTATAGTGGGGAATCGGATCACTACACCTGAGGCTGTGAGGAATCAACAGCTGATATTAAGCCAAGAAAACAATACCCTGACGACGTGTTTCAGAGCCCAACCATACAAAAGGAGCAACAAAGAGCTAACCATACATAAAAAACAGGAATTAACAAGATTTAGTTCATTTGAAAATACTCCACCTGATCAAAATTAGATAAAAGGTTCATTACTTGAGGATATCGATCTACAAGTCCATGGGTGTATTGATGGAAAATCTTGCAGTACGTTGATAAATACTTATTCTACATCTGCAGTAGTTTGACCCAACTTGGTAATGAAAGATGGAAATTTTCTTCTAATTTAAGATGAATTGATGCAAACAACAAGTTGACGCGTTCCAGCAAGATCTGGTAGCTGAAAATTGGAATTTGCTTTCAAAGACGAAACAAGAAGATGTGGTGTTTTGAGCACTAAATAATCATAAAGTCCTGACAAGAAAATAGTTGGAAGTCAACCCTTATAGCGAGTAACTTCTCTACACAAAATAATTTTTGGGTAATACACATCGAAGAAGATGCATATTGGGAACTTTTCTCATGCAGAAACATAGATGTGAGGCTAGACTAGCATCAAACAGCTACACAAGAGAAAGATGACCTAGAGTTTAGTAGAACAGAATTTAGAGGAATGGGTGGTCCAAACCAAGGGCCATCCTTCATGATTGTCTTTGAAAGGACGTTGAGAGAAGAACAGCAGTTACTTAACTTCAGTGAAGACACCATTAGAATTAAGTTGACCTGCTGTAGAGAATAGAGATTCCTGTCGATACCACTCCCAGAGTATCAGCACGGATGAAGCCACTGATGGGTTCCCTCAACCATCTACCTGGAGAGAACTCTCTAAGTGACAAGACAGCAAGTGACAGTAAAGGACAAGAGAAAACAACAAAAATACTTGATGACACGATAATTTGAACATTATAAATCATTAAAGAAAGAAATATTGCCTTGTGTGGAGCTTTTCTACACAGCATCATGTGTGGTTAATTCTTTTAGAGCAAGAGTGCATACTGGAAATAGACGTGATGTGGAAACACGGTTATGGCATTACAATAGGTTCAAACGGTTTTAACAGTTTCTGACTAGGAAATACCTGTCCACTGTATGTTAGTTACATCACTAGAGGTTGAACTTCCAGTGACAAAAAATGATGAACGCACAAGATGACGATCAACCTAAAGTGCAACAGAGAAAAATCCAGAAATATAGGCAGTTCAAGCCATGAGTCTTTTTAAAAGTACGTCGGCGGAAGATTCACTAATTTCTTAGCTTCAGAGAAAACTTCACAGAAGTTGACCTGTTGATCCTGACGAGACCATTTCCAATGTATCACCAGTATGAAAACATGACGATCTGCTTGAAAAGATTCCTCTCCCCAGTAACAACATGTTAAATGATGATATAAGATAATAGATCATCCCATCTTCTTACCATAAGCCAAAGAAAAACATCAAACTATTTGGTAACTGAACAGTTTAAGGACACTAAATGAACAATGGAATAAGATTTTGTTTTGTCAAAACACATTTTATTGTACTTTGCATTAACACATTTAATTATTGTAATGCTCATATTTATGAATATTTTCAAGTATAACTTTAATGTTAATTACGGAAGTTTGAGTTTAATGTATCATTGTTTCTAAGCAATGTTACACGATAAACGAATTATTACTGTAAGCTATGTATGTTTTAAAATTTACATTTATTCGAACTTGAATTTTCATAAATAAAAAATCTTAGTAAGAAAGACTATAATAAAGCTCTGCATATCAGACACGATTATAAATACATTAATGATATTCTTTTTACCATATTATCAAGGTTTTCTAAATACAGCCAAACAAATTTTTTCACCATAACTCACCCTTGCAAATATCTCTTTCATTAAAAAAAAGGACTTTACCCCATTTAGATACCAGCATAGTTAATCAAACATTTAATTCACAGTTTTCATTAAAAAAGATAATTTAATTTTGAAGTTATGAATATTCCGCTTTCAAATACGAATATGACCAATACGTTTTTATAAGATTGAAAATCAGCCAAAAGTAAAGTATTTTACAAAGGAATATTTGTGTATAGAAATTCTGTATCAAAACTTATACAATACACATTTTATTTAAAATTTAAATCTTGTGTGTCATTATAGAAAACAAAACTGTCTTTTGTGTTGTTTTTTTTTATTGTACGCGAACTGACTAGTAGAATTCACCGACTCACACAGTAAATAAAATGTTGATGAATATTAGATTTCATATACATAAGTGGTGACGTATGTTATTGAGGAATAATACTTTTCAAGTACCCAGGTGTATGTAGAATGTGGATGAAGGCTAGGTTCAAATACTCAGGTGTAAGTAGAATGTTGATGAAGGCTAGGTTCAAATACTCAGGTGTAAGTAGAATGTTGATGAATACTAGGTTTTACATACCAAGGTGTAAGTAGAATGTTGATGAATACTAGGTTTTACATACCAAGGTGTAAGTGAAATGTTGATGAATACTAGGTTTTACATACCCAGGTGTAAGTGAAATGTTGATGAATACTAGGTTTCATATACACAGGTGTAATGTATCATATTGATGAATACTAGGTTTCATATACACAGGTGTAACGTATCATATTGATGAATACTAGGTTTCATATGCCCAGATAATAAATTTATGTTGGAGAATGCTAGGCTTTGAATATCCATATAGTAAATCTAAGGACCATCAATGTTTGGAAATATTCATAAATTATTAACTACTACATTAAAGCCTACAGAAATTTATAAAAGTGTTCCACATCATTCCTAGGCTGGCTGTCCGTGGACAAATTAAATGTGTGATTTATCTGTTAAATGAAACAATACAAATAGGTTTGTTTTAAATGGAAATTGTAACTTTATACATGGAGTTAATTACGTTTGATAAAGGTATGAGAGGTGAATTAAAAAGTCAAATATATTTTCAAAACAATTTCCTCAGACCCAGATTTGATTGGATTTTTTTTTTTTTTTTGTTTGTTGTTGTTGTTGGGAATAAACCTTTCTTGGTGAAAAGCTGAGGTTAACGATCTACACTAGTGCATCGTCACTAGGTGGCAGCTTCTCACGTGCACTATTTTACTGCCGCCAATCACCCAACACAAAACTTTTTAGCCGCAAGAGCGAGAAGTTGACTAGACCACGCCTGGAAGAGGGCAAAGAGAAGTTGGATTATTTCAAACAAACTGTAAGCAAAGTGTTCTAATTTATTTATCTTGTTTTAAAGTACAAAGTCGATTGATTAGAAAATTATGACTAATAGAGAAAAAAAACTAAATGTTCTTAAAGACAGTACACTATATATGACTGTTATTATATTGTGAAATAAAATTTACTTTAAAGTTTAGGTCCATATACAACAGCTCGTGGCAATGAGCAACATTAATTATATCGCATTGTTTCCTATATTTAACAACATTTTCTGTGGATTATTTGGAAAGTCAAGAGCACCTATATCAAATCAGTTGAAAGAGATAATATCGAAAATAACTTAAGATAAAGTAACACGGGAATGTCAAAGTTCGATGCTCTTAAAACCACGTTGACAGATGAATAGTTAATATGGGCACATTTAAAACTAAGCTGACACAGGAGCATCTAAGATGCAGAACCGGCTCTAAACAAAATTGTGGCCTGTGTGTACTTTGTATTCGGCACCCCTGCCTCTGTAAAATTCACAAGAACTGCTAATTGTAATGTCGATTTTGGCGACCCTTGAAGTGGGCACACGTCGCCCACCCCAAGGGCCAGCTCTGTTAATATGGATACAGCTAAAGCTATGCTGAAACATGAATAACTGTTATGCATACATTCAAAGCTAAGCTGGCACGGTAACAGTTGTTCATGTAATTAGATAATGTAAATGGCGTCTCAACCATTATTGTGTCTGTCGTATCCCAGCCAGCCTAAATATCTCTGATTTTGTGCCAAAGGACTCGTCGGCACTGAATATGGCAGGTATAGTGTGGTTGACATATTTCTATATATTCTTCTTTACTTTCACTCTTACGTTCTTAGAATGGATAAAGTTAAGGCTAAGAGGATGCACTTAGAGAAAACCTTAAATAGAAACAGCCTATGTCGAGATATCTGAAAATAAGCTGACACGGAAACAATTAATAGGAATTTGAATAAAGATAAAATGATACAAGAAATTGTAGCATTGATATGGTTAAAGCTAAACTGAGACAAGAACTGGTAGCTTTGATATGATTATACACTAAGACAAGAGCAGGCGGCAATGATATGTTTAAAGATAGACTGAGACAAGAAGTGGTAGCATTAACATGATTAAAGAAAAAATGAAACAAGAACTGGTAGCATTGATGTGGTTAAAGATGTCCTGAGACAATAACAAGTAGTATTGATATGGTTAAAGATGTACTGAGATAAGAACTAATAGCTTTGATATGATTAAAAATAGATAAACTGAGGTATAATAACTAACATTAATACGGTTAAAGATAAAACTATTCACTTTTTATTTCTATGTTCTTTCCTCTAAAGTTTTTTCTTACATCTGATCTTGTTTAAGTTATTCGATCTCTTAAACTTCTCTCCTTTTGAAATTTCTATGTGATATTTTTTCCTATTTCTTCGTTCTTCCAATTGTTTTTAAATGGCCATTTTTTTTCCATTTCCCCTCTCTCATGCCTCGCCTTTACCATTTTCTTCACATATTAATTTTTCTCATTTTCTTCCTCTCTTTCCTTGTTATTTCAACTTCCATCTTCTTTGTTTCTCTAGTTTGTTTTTGTGTTTTTGCCCTTTTTTCTATTCCTAACTTCTTTTGCCTTTTTTCCTCGTTTCCTCATTATCTTCCTTTCACTATCTAACTTCTTGTACTGTCTTTTCTCTTTAGGTTCTTTTTCCTTCTTTCTAACTTCTTTTACCGTCTTCATTTGTTTCTGTAGATTTTCCTCGTTGTGTTTTTTGTTTGTTTTTGTTTTCTAAATAACACTATTGTTGCTTTTCCTCCGTTATTTATGCCCCCCCTTTTTTTTACATTTCTGTGTGTGTGATTTCTTCCTATTCTTTTCTTTTGTTTCTTATTTGCTGTACTTTGATTTGTTTGTTTGTTTATACTGAGATTTTGCGCGAAAAGTTACGCAAGGGCTATCGGGTTTAGTGCCGGACAGTGAAAATGAGGTTCTGTGGTTCACGTCCTGTTACCACTTCATAGAAACAAAAAAATTGCCCTCCGCGCTCTGGAGCTGTGGGTGCCTTAAATCATACTACTCGGTCTGGCAAAAGTAACCCAATAATTGGTGGTGGTTAGAATTTTCCCTCTAGTCTATCACTTCAAAATTAAAGACGGCTAGCACAGTTAAATCTGTTCTTAATCTCCCTAATTTTGAACTGATAGATCGAAAGGAAAGTAGATAGTGAATCCTTGCGCAAACTCTTGACCTACTCTTATTTGACCAAGTAGTAGGATCTGAATGTCACTCTTATAACGCACTCACGGCTCAACATAAGGAGTGTGTGTTTTAAGACAATAGTAGGCGAATCACCCAAATCCTCGAATTCACGTTCCGGACACTCTATTCACTAGGCCACAATCTATCTTTCACCATAAATATCTATCTCAATACTTCCTATGTTCTTCTCTCATAAGTTGGGCAAAGATTGGCCTCATGATCGAGTTTTGGATTTCGTAGTTGGCGAGACGGGTTTGAACCCGTTCTGTACCACAAAATATTACCCGCACTTTTTAGTTGTGGGTGTATTATAAAAGTGACAAACAATTCCCTAGAATGGATAGTAGGCTGCTGCTGACTGCCTTCCTTCCCTCTGGTCAGTAGTTCAAAATTAAGGACAGGGGCAGATAGTCTCAGTAACTTTGCCATAGGTGAAATACCAATACCATCAATTTTTCATGTCTTCAAACATTTTACTAGCCATCTTTGTGTAATCAGTAAGTAGCATGTCTTGTTGAAAACAATGTTTGGATGGATTACAAAAACTATAAACTATTAACAATTCGGTCTTGGGCATGTTTCATACGTAATAAAAAATAACCGTCATCTATTACTCACTATAGGAAACTGTGCACAAAGTAATGATTAACATGAGATACAGTAACAACAAACAGGTTCGGTAGTGTTACAACAGCACGAGAAGCTGTTGCAAACTCGTGGAACTCAAACTCGAAATTTGTGAAAACCTATTGCCTGGATTTTTTACATCTTTCATCGTATTTCGAAAATAACAAATGTAGTTATACAATTAGATACAGGTTAGCCCACTATTTCCCAACCTGTGGACGTTTTTGAAATTCAGGGGGCAGTAAACTTTGAGGGGGCGGACAGAAAAGTTTTGAGGGTTTAAAAGTTAAATTCGTTAAAATTAAACCATAAAAATTAACTATTATTGCCTTACAATTTTAATTTTAACAAAATATTTAATGGTCTAAAACTTATTAGAAGGGGGGAATGAGCATTCATTTTTTGCTGAAAGGGGTGCTGCGGCGAAAAAGGATGGGAAACACTAGGTCCCATTGTTTAACTTATGTTTTCCCGCCAACGACGATATTTTCGTCTTTTGAATTTATACATGTATTGAAACAGTTGAAATAAACTTTTTTTGTTGTGTTTCTGCTTCTAAGGACTTGTTTTAGCAGTTAGGCCTTACCATCTGTTCACAATTATAACATTGGAACCATTCTGTTAAAGAATTCAAAGCTGTTATTAAAATTAATAAGAACATAAATACTTAATTATAACTAAGCCATATAAATAGAATGTTATACTTCTTTTAAGCAGGAATTAATATATTATTAAAATAAGTGACAGAAGTAAGTTTGTTAAATAAGACAAACATCTAACCATTTGAAAGGAAACTAAGTTAGTTATCAGTAACATTAAAGAAACACATGCCAATAAGACCAGAAAATACATCGAATATAGCTTACCGCGTATACTTAATGAAATATCGCGACTTCGATTTGCGACTTTGTTATAATGAGTGAAACTGAAGATGAAGTGTATCTGAGGGTTCGCAGAGACTTGTGATTATGGGTCTGAAGCTGGCTTTAAATCAGTAGCATCCAGCGTAGCCTCCTCTCCTCGAATTGAGAGTTGTTTAATATATTTTTTATATTCAGCTGATAGTTTCAAGATTTGGATAACACAGCAACAAATTAGCTCTTGTTATGGCAGTATCTATATACAACAAAACCACATAGCTGGTTCTTATTACGTCAGTAGTTAGCCTGCATTAAACAAGACTGTAAAATAGTTTTGTTATAGCATTATGTATTAAACACCATATTCCTCGAACTAATTCTCGTTATGACATTATGTATTAAATAACACAGTCATTGAAATGGTGCTCATTATGTTAGTATGAATTAAACAACACATTCACAAAACTAATTTTCATTATATTAGTATATTTCAAACATTACAATCACCATACTAATTCTCGTTGTGTCGGTATGTATTAAACACTACAGTCAACAAACAAATTCTCCTATGTCAATATATGGTAAACATCAAATTCCCCAAACTAGTTTTCGTTATGTATTAAACACTACACTGTCAAACTAATTTACGTTATTTCATTATGTATTAAACACCACAGTCACCAAACTAATCCTTGTTACTAGCAGAAACATAGTATCCATACCTCATTGAAAAAAATATATAAAAAAGTGAACATTTAAAAAAAATCTTTTCTGGTAAGTACTGCACAAGAAAAATGTACGGATTGTGCTATTTAGTCATATGCAACTTTACTGATATAAACTGTAATGTTTTTTTATATTAAATGTGCTACCCTTTATTGAAAAAATAATAGTTTTATTTAAGAACTCTTGTTTTTAGTACTACATTTAAAATTTAAATCAATAGAAATATTATCAGACCCTCACATACAGTTCTAGTGAAAGTCGTGTTCTTGTTGTGAGGAGAGTAGTTTATTTAAAATTATGTGCTAGTTATCGTTATGTCATTATCTGTTTGATATTACACCACTTAAGCTAGTTCTTGTCATGTCAGTGTGCATTTAAAATCACACTGATGAAACTGGTTCTCATTATGTTACTACTTGTTTAATATCACTGAAACCGAAACGGTTATCGTTAGGTTGATATCTTTATAATATCACATCAGTCGAACTAGTTCTTATTATGTTAGAATTGTTTTAACATCATAACAATTGAACTGGTTCTCATAATGTCAGTAT